GGGGAAGAGGGGAACAGCCATAAATATAACACTGAATATGTTCTAAGTTTGCTTTTGGACCGTTTCTGTCATTCCCTGTCTTTCTACTAGATGTCTGCAGAATGGTCTTTCCTTCTGGATTTCCATCCCTCAGGAGCTCTTTGGGAAGAGCTGCTGCTACGCTCTCTTAGTCCTTGCACACCAGACATTCTTAACGAACTGAGGAAGAGGGGTGCTTTCAGAGCCGTGACAGTAAGCTGCACTCTGATATGGGGGCTGGGGGGAAGGAAGGGAGGAGTGGGACATAGTAGCAAAGCCTTTATCTCCTGAAGTTGTTGCAACCTAAAATACACATTACAAAAACAAGAGAATAACATTGATTTCACTTTATAGTTAGGGCGTAATGATGAACAGCTTGGATGCAGTCTTTGTCTCTCTTTCCACCGAGGTTTTCAGGTTCAGTAGACAGCCTTCTTTTGAGTTGCTGGGTTCCTTTCAGTTGTCAGGATACTGGCCTCACAAATACAGTTTTTCATTATGGTCTCGACAAGGAGTGAAAAAAATCTGAAAGCCTAAATTTCTACTTTAGAAAACAATTTGAAAAGAAGCTTTTTGGTTTTTGTTTTTTTAAGAGAACCTAATTCTCTTAAGCTATGGCTATGCACTACAAAGAAGTTAAAAATAAAACAGAAAAAATCATTTGTAGGATGTACCTTACAAATGGAGAGGCATAAACTGAGAATTTAATGAGCTATGGAATTCAGGTTTTTTGCTTTCTGCAGTTATGAATAATAAAGGACTTTCCGAAGACGCCTGTTTGGGCAGAACTCAGATACAGCTATTGCTTCCACAGAGCTGTGGAAGCTCTGAATATAGAGTAAAGGATTTGTCCTTTTCTCATGTCTTTGCACATTTTTCAGGGAGTATAAGTTTGTTGGAGTTCATTGCTTAAGGAGACAGCAGATCTAACTTTTTTTTTTTTTTAAACACTTTAGACTTGAAATAAAACCCAAGGCCCACACCTGTAAAATGGCAACATCACCTTAATGATTGTGCTGTGGCACGTCGCAGTATAAGCTTATGTTGTAGATACAAATGAATATCCAGCATGCATACGGAAAGATATGTTTAACATGCTTCTCTCATCTCCTAAGTTTTTATTTGAGTCACACTTTCATTTATAAGGTATCTGTAATATAATTTTAATTATGGTTTTAAGCTACCCCCCACATACTGCTCAGGAGATGCCTTCTACTGGCATAATGAATAGCCAGCCAAATCATTTTTCACGTGTTTGGATTCTTTGTCTTTCTTAAACTTGATTTTGAGGACAAAGGGCAAGGCAGAACTGGTGGCTGTGGTAGCTGGGGCAGGGTGTAGTGGAACTGATCCACTGAGCGAAAACCTTTGTGTCTTATGCAGAGCAGGCCACCTGACTTGGAGCATAAGGAAAGTTCTTCTGTAGGCTTTGAGCAGTTTGCTGCTGACTGTCATTATTTTTGGCTTTTTTCTAAAAGCTGAGTTTGTGTAAATGACTCTAGAAATGATTTAGGACAGACCAAAAAGCTGAGCCAGTTGTCCCATTTGAATTGCAGAATTTCCCATAGCATCATTCACCCAAGAAATCACTGTTTGATTCTTTTCGGAACCCAAGGTCAGATTATCTCTTAGCATGTTTTTTTTTACTGATGTGATACCTGATGCTCTGTCTGCGCAGAACTGGCTGGTCTGACATTTCAGCATTTAAGTCAGAGCTATAACTCAAATGATATGAAGACTGATTATGGCAGTAAAGTTTAGCAGACTTTCTGATAGCTGCTTTCTTTTAGATATACTTTGTTATACATTTGAGTGAACTCTTGCACCTTCTTAATTTTTTTATAGTCGCTGAAACAAATTTAGAAAACAAAGTACTGAAAGGCTATAATGAGTTTCTCATCAGCACTATCTGAGGGCATTTTTAAGGCATGTTTTTAGAGTTGTGTTTTTCAAGCAAGCTGATATTTCTGAAAGCTAAGCAGAGAGTTCTTTCAGTAGTGTTTGGCAGTAAACTGCTTTGTGATTTAAATGGTCATTTTATTCTTTCTGGGTAGTGGCTATTAATATCTCAAAGCATATCAAAGATCCTGTGAATGCAGAAATGGCTGATGATTTATTGCATTTTTAGTGGGCATAGCTCCAAATATAAGAGGCACAGTGGCTATTCCTGTTTGGTTCTTGTGACACATACTCATGGTGTCTAATATGACACTGTGTAATTGCTGCTTACTGCCAGGAAAGTGGCATTTCAGATACTGTTCTTTAAAAGAAGGAGTAATAAACAGTGTGATGATGATTTTCTCCTTTAATACCGCAGTCTATGTTGTATTAGATGCCGTGTGCGATCAATACTGTGTTTTGCAAAGGATAAAAGCATAGACCCATACATATTAAAGGCTGAAAATAATTACGCTGTTTTTCTAAACTAAGCTCTGAACATCACTTAAATGCTGATGTTTATGAGGAACTTGAGCCCACTCAAAACTGCTGTGCCAAAGTGTCTAATGAGGCCCTCCAAACAGGTTTGCTTACTCCGGGTATAGAGAGGCTTGTGTCTGACCTTGAGTTCAACATATTGATTGTTGCAGACGCTCACCAGGTAAGCGTAACAGTTGTTTGCTCAAGGATGGAGAAGTGGTGCAGTTGCTGTTTCTGAAATATTTCTGTTCACTGAGAAAACACTCTGCTAAATAGTGTTCTGACTCTCTTCATTATATTTTCTACTGGAAAAAAGATGGCTTGCATCTCTTCTGCCCCCCCCCCTTTTTATTTTCTTCCCAGAGGTACGTTGCCATAGGTTAAAGGCACACACTGGTGTGTCAGCCACTCCCCCCAGTTTAGTATCATCAGCAAACTTGCTGAGGGTGCCTTCCTCCAGGTCATTGATGAATACATTGAACAGGACTGGACTCAGGACTGAGCCCTGGGGGACACCGCTAGCTACAGGCCTCCAGCTAGACTCTGCACCACTGACCACAAC